ACTTCTTACTTCATCTGTTATTTAGGTAATACCCTTTTATTTTTTCAAAATAAATTTATTTAGGATGTTGATGTTTATATTCAATATCACACTCTGATGTTAACCATGTTTGAATATTAATTTCTTGCATATGACAGTAGGTAGTTCTCTTTCGAACTACATTATCCATTAAAGAATAATTGAACAATTGCATTTTGAAAGTATTTTGACTTATCCTTAAAGCACATCTGTTGCAAAATTACATCCATGTATAAATACAATTGAACTACATTTTTCCATGACATAACATTAAAAATTGAATATATAAAACAATTCTATGTCACTTTATATATGTGGTATATTTTGTATTATCCCAATATAACATTTAATATATATTTTTTAATAATTTTTAAATATTTAAAGCATTAATATCAAGACATTTTATATTTGAATTATAAACATAGTTCAAGATTTGTTTCAAATTGTTTACCAATATCATATACACTACTTATAACTTCACAAATCTTATATTTAATTTGTACCCTGTAACATATAAACAATATTCAATTAGTCATCATAAGTAAAATAAAAAAAAATTTATAATTTCATTCAAATAATATTATTCTTTCTGAATTTGTACGAAACTATTAATATTTAAACTTGCTAAAATTTGTTTTATAAAGCAAAATATATAATACTGTTATAAATCAATGTCATATACACTATATGAATTAACTATCACATTATATGACAAAATTATATTTATAAATATAAGTAACTAGTTTAAAGTGAAAAAAAGTTTGGTACAAAAATTCGACAGCTGGAAGCATATTTTGAGGTTATAACTTACGCGCCTGTGTGCAAGCATACGTGCCACACAAGCCACTTACACGCATACAAGAATCGCATACATCTCACTCTCACTTATAGGTACCAGCGGCGCGCGGATGCACACAACAAAAGTCCAACTGACAAGGCGTAAACAAAAGAAAAAGCAACCATCTGTGAAAAATTTTCCGGTTCGAATAGCTAAGAAACCCAAAGAAGGTATCCTAGATACGAGTATTTCATATTGACGCAGAAAAATGCGAATAGCGTCGTGATGAAAAATTGTCAATATTACCTCCGCGAACGCGGTTTTGCCACCCGTGTTTTCTTCTCGCGATTTTTCGTTTTTTCACACTTTTTTTGACATGATTTTAATTCTAAGCACAATATTTTATTCCTTTACAAACAGAAACAACATACATGAAGTATGTAAAAAGAAAAATTCTTCTTAAAATAATAAACTTTTCTGGCACACGACAGTTCCATGTACGCGTTACACTATTCGGTGGCAACGGCCATCATGTATTTGTCAAGGCTGCCATTAGTACAAGTCTATAAAATCCTAAAGCTTTTACCATTGGCGACACCTTGATTGTGATATTGTAACTTTTTACAGTACTCATTTAACAAAATCTTTATTTTGATTGGCTAATATTTTAGTTATAACCAATCAGTAAATAGAAAGTATTGGTGATTTTAATACAATAGCTTTTTGAAAATTTTAAAATAAGACAAATTGGTAAATATTTTTACTTAATGATATTCTAATATGTAATATATTCAATAATAAATATAGTGTTTTAAAATAAAATTG